TTTAATATTTGTATATCTGTACATTTTAAATTGTATTATGGTGCTTTTAATGTTAGCCACTTTAAGTCCCCTTGTGGTGAGAAAAAGCAAGATATAAATAAACACAATAAACATTATTATTATTATTATTATTATTATTATTATTATTATTATTTATTTCATGATTGGTCATAAAATGCCTTCCCATATTTAATTGTCAGCTACCAATTAGGAGGCAGCATGTTGATTATTTCAGATTGTTTATGCCAGCAAACAAGGATTTGAGAAGTAGACTCAGGTCTCTTGGTTACCTTCACTTGTTGCACAAAGGGAGTTGGAAAAATTACCATGCTGCTATTCAATAGGGGTGTGCAATTTGGTAAAAACCCATGCCATTTTCAGTGTCTGGGTTTCAGCACCCCCCCCCCCCCCCCCCCCCCGTTCCATTTTTAGGGAGTTTCCCAAATTCAGGAGGGTTTTTGTCCATGTTGAAAAGATTTGGTCTATTGACATAACGGGGAAACTTTAGAGGCTCATTTATTTATTTATTTATTTACAACATTTATATACCGCCTTTCTTAGACCAAGAGCGACTCAGGGTGGTTCACAATTGGCAACAATTAAATGCCACAACCATTATAACAGTTAAAATAACCATAAAATAGCATTAAAACATTTAACATACAGTATAAAATAATTAATTTTTTTAAAAAAATATTTAAAACCATACAAGCCTTAAAAACATTTCTCTGTCATTTTTAGGCCCATCAGCATGAAACTTGCCTTACTTGTAGGCCACATTTATTTCTACAAGCCTGCCAACTTTTAGAGCGTCTCACCAATCTAATTATCTTGGGGAATTTTTACAATTTTTACCATAACTTTTTATTAAAAAAAAAAAAACACAAGAGAGGATTCTGAGAATTGAAGTCCCAAGAGGAGAGGAGAATGGACACAGTCAGCCAATTCTCTGATTGGCTGAGAAAGAAAGTGAGAAACACAGAGAGAAAACCCTCAACTCCCATCATGCCTCAGGAGGGTGCTTCTTGGCAGGGGGTTAAACTCGATGGCTCAGGAGGTCTCTTCCAACTTTATGTTTCTATGACTCTATGATTCTGCAATCTTCTTCAATGCTTGCGCAATCTTCTTCAATGCTTCCATGTGGAGGAGGCTGCCAGGGAAGAAAGTAAAGGAGGAGGACCAACTTTCCTGATTAGCGAGGTTACTCCGCTCACATGCCACCACCTCCGCCTCTGGTAGAGTCAGTGCCATTCACTCGGCCCAATTGGTTCCTATTAGCCCCCATTGGCTGAAAAAATCCAGCTGCTTTGATCTGTTCTGGCTAAAGCTTTGACTGCCCATTACCTGGCTCATTTTCATGGGTTCGGCAGCCAAATCCTCTAAACCATCTGGAACCTGTTTTCAAAACCGGAAATGTGCACTGCCTACTATCCAGTCAACAGCAGAGTTGACCTCCATAACTCACTTCAGCTACAGGCTGTTAAGGAAGTTTTGGATTATTTACGTCCAGATATATTGTTTAGTTATACATTTGTAACTATGTAGGCAGTGTGTGGTTCCTACTGCAGTTACATTTCAGGGAGAAAGGGTTTGGGCAAAAAGCAATATTTTATTTTATGAACTTACAAAAAAACGAAACAGTTTTGTGCAGAACTCACTTTTCTTGTCCAAATATTTGTATTGTAAGGAAGAAACCCAAATTTGTTCTCAAGCAAATAAACCTGCAAAAATATCCCAAACTGTGAAAGCTGGTTAAAAATGCAATGTCACTCAGCATAAGAAAACTTTTGATTTTTTTTAAAATCCTTGTATGTGGGAATTAACTATATAATGATTACATTCCCATCTATGAATATAAGAAGAATCGTGCTAATTTTTTTGTTTTCCCATAGTGTATAGATTCCCCTACCCACTATGTGATTTTACCATTGTTCTCTCCTTTCTTGCTTTGTAGCTCTGTGGTTTTGGCTAGTGTTCATGGAGCAACAAATGCTGCATATGACATTTTGTTTAGGTGATGAGTAAGGAAAACAGTTGAAATAAATGCTGTTTTAGAGCTATTTGTAATCCTGTAAGGGTGTTTATATTATGTAAGCGAAGTATAGAAGACAATGGAGTCAGAGCAAGCATGTATTTCTCCAAGCATTTCTCCACTGTTTCATAGACCCATGGCCCTGTTGTTCTTCTTGCAAACCTTGCTACATTGAGGAACCAGTTCTGAAAGATGGTTCTACTTTCTCTTCACTTTAATAGAAATAAAATATTTTCCCTGAAATTCTGTTGATGAAAGCAGGAGCCTGGAAGCACAAGTAGCAGTAGCATGCTGGCTGGTGGAAAAAGAAAATAAAGAAAACCTTCTATATTTCTCTTTCAGTCAGGGTACTGACAGCTCCAAACAACCTATTCTCTCAGATCCTAGTTTGTTTGCTTTTTAGGTGGATCCTTGAAACTAATGGTGATTGCTCTCCAACCGGCGAAATCACCAGACAAGACCATGTTGTGGGTTAACTATGGGCAACGTTTATTATATGTTACCAATCAATCTCTGTGTGATCATCCAATCCAATTTATCAATCAACATAAACTTGAACATGACTTTGAACTTAACAGTGAACTTGAACATGAATTTGAACTTGAATTTGTTATTAATCAGATGAGGTGGTGGCCCCGCCTGACCACGTCATCCTCCGACAAGGGCGAGACACCATAATTCCCAGATGCAACCCACATGTTGCTCCTATGGGAACTCATCAGGTAACAGGTAGAGACTGTAGCGTACTCCCCCTTCCTGTGGTGCACACCAGTACCTGCATGTGCCTGCCATACCTTTGATGCCTATTTAAGACCCCCCTTCAACCCAATTTGCCCAAAATGCGCAGTGTAGGGTAGGCGAAACCCCCCCCCCCCCAGAACATGGCGGGGGAAAAAATTCCTACCCGGCCCCTAACGGCGACCTTTGACAAGTACACTGCAGCGGTGGCGGGTGGGTGGGTCAACTGACTAAGGCCAAGTGAGGTGGGCTGAGCTCAATTCACCTGGGCCACGCCCACAACAAGCCCTTGCTGGGACTTTTAACTCTTTGTCTTCCCTTTGCCGGAAGGAAGCAAAGGACTTCCCTACCATCATGCTGAAGGCAGGAAAGGAATTGCTCTCCAACCGGCGAAATCACCAGACAAGACCATGTTGTGGGTTAACTATGGGCAACGTTTATTATATGTTACCAATCAATCTCTGTGTGATCATCCAATCCAATTTATCAATCAACATAAACTTGAACATGAATTTGAACTTGAATTTGTTATTAATCAGATGAGGTGGTGGCCCCGCCTGACCACGTCATCCTCCGACAAGGGCGAGACACCATAATTCCGGGATGCAACCCACATGTTGCTCCTGTGGTGACTCTACCAGGTAACGGGTATAACGCTCATCCCCCACTCATGAGGATTTGTTTTACCGCCACAGATTAGTGGCAAGTGTCTACTTAGTCACTATCGCTCCCCAACTTCTCAAAACAACCCGAATACCTGCCTGGAGATCACACAGAAACTGACTGTTACCAGCATCCGACAGGTGAATGCCGTCTGCTCTATAAAATTCATGCCTCGTGCGAGTGACTTCGGGGTGTCTAATGAAATAACCAAGGCCCTCGCGGAAAGCCTTCAGCATTGACCTGTTGACCCGTCTTCGGGCTTCATCCATTTGCTTTACAGTGCCGCCGTCCGGCCATGTGTGACGGGGTATAATTGTGGACCAAACCAGTCTTGTGTGAGGCCATGCCTCCCTTATTGTCCGAAAATCAGCCAGCGCTTGCTCGCTGAGTGCTTTTCCCTTCAGCAACCCTAGGTCGTTGCCTCCCAGATGAACTATCAGCATGTCGGGTGGGTTGGATCCACGTCCAAATGGAAACAGAAGCGGCATCAGGCCTTCCCACCGTAGACCTCTGCGGCCCCTCCATTCTATTGCCACCTCTGCAGCTAGACCCAGGTGCTGGCCAAAGGATGTCTTGCTCGCATGCCGCTCGGCCCAATGGATGTAACTGTGTCCACAAATGAGAACCCGTCGCCTTGTTCCCAGCCGGGCTGCGCCTGCAACAGCAATTAATAGTCAGTACAGTGTCATGGGGCGGACATAAGTCCGATAAGTCCCCGACTTCCACCTCCCCAAAGCTTTAATTTTTGCAGCATCATATCCAATTGCCGCTGCAGCTGATGCTGCTCCTATTCGAAAGGAATGTGTCCCAAACTTCTGCCCCTTGATGCCCAAGGCCTCCAATGCCTTTGATGTAACTGTCCAGAATTGGTATTTAGTAAGAGGGGACCCATCCCCATGTATGAAGAGGGGACCAGGTTTGTTCCCTCTGTGGCCCACGTATGTAGTCATGGCTCTTATCGGGCACAGCTCTTCATCACTGCACATTGAGAGTTTCAGCACACTTCCCTTGGCCTTCTGGTCGGTCTTTGACTTTCTTATAACAATTTGCAGCTATGTTGGGGTCAAATTGATGTCTGACCAACAAAGTGCTCTGTCTGATTTGTCAGCCTTCGATCCCACCACCAATTCACTAACCCTTAATGCTCCAAAAAAGGCCATGAGAGCGGCTGCATGAAAAAGCGCTGCCTCATAAGGTGATGAGCAAACCGATGGCCAGACCTTCAACATACCCTTCAAGATGCCTGGAGAAATCGGTTGTCTATTGTCACGGGGCTTGCCACGCTCCCTGGCCCACCCCTCCAGGTATTTCCTAATACGAAAGTCATTTGTGGCATCTGGCCACCCTTGGGCCTTGAACCAAAAGGCCAATGCGGACATCTTGCCCTGAATGGAATGTGGAGCTAGCCCTGATCTCCTGAGCAGTATACAGAACTGGATAACGTGCTCAGGGGGAACCAGAACCATGTCACCCAATCTATACTTATTCCTGAACTTGCTGAACTCGCGAACCGTCCTGATGTAAGCCCTCTTGGAAGCTGGAGCCAGGGCTAGGCCCATCCCCCTGGCTAACTCCTCGTTCCAATCTGCCAAAGATGGTCCGGCAACTTCTCCTGCCTCAAATCTGCGTTGGGTGCGAGTTGCCTGAAGCGTTTGATCTGCATACGAGAAAGAGCATCAGCCAAGGTATTATCCGTCCCTGCAATATGAAATGCGCGGAACCATATGTTGTGTTTTAGGCAGTGAAGCGTGAAATAACGCACCGCCTCCATGACCCTCTTCGACTTTGAAGACAATGAGTTAATAACTTGTACAGTGGCCATGTTATCGCACCAGAAATGTACCGTAGAGTTAGCCAACTCCCGCGTCCACACTGATACTGCCACCACAATGGGGAAAAATTCCAAAAAAGTGAGATCCAATGTTATGCCCTCCTTGTGCCATGAGGATGGCCACCTCTCTGCACACCAATGACCATCAAAATACACTCCGAAACCTATTGACCTCGCAGCATCTGATGCTACTTGGAGAGCCTTCCCTAGTAACAGTTCCTGCCTCCAAAATGAAATCCCGTTGAAGTCCATTAAAAACTGCAACCATACTCTCAAGTCAGCCTTAATGGCCTTTGTTATACGAATGTGGTGGTGTGGCAGTGACACTCCAGCTATGGCATTGCATCACCTACGCAGAAATGCCCTTCCAGGAGCCACCACTCTGCATGCGAAGTTAAGGTGGCCGATCAAAACTTGAAACTCCCTAAGCGTGCCCTTACCTCTCTTCATAAAATGCTGTATTCTGTCCAATAATATATTGATCTTTTCCCTAGCCAGCCTTGAAAACTGCTGCACTGTGTCAATTTCAATACCCAGAAATGTCAGCTGCTTGGCTGGCCCCTCTGTTTTCTCCTCTGCTAATGGGACACCCAATTGGTTGGTCAGCTTCTTAAATGCCCAAAGCAGCTCCCTGCACTCATATGTGCCCGCTCTCCCAATGAATAAAAAGTCATCTAAATAGTGAACCACTCCATTTAAGCCTGTGTTTACTTTAAGGGCCCATTCCAAAAAGGTGCTAAACTTTTCAAAAGCCGCACATGAGATAGAGCAGCCCATTGGCAGGGCCCTGTCCATATAATACGCCCCACCGAATGCAAAGCCCAAAAGCTCAAAATCATCGGGATGAACTGGAAGAAGCCGAAATGCGGACTTAATATCACACTTAGCCAGATCTGCAGCCACCCCTTTCTTCCTGATAATATGGACTGCTCTATCAAATGATGCGTAACGCACCGTGCATATCTCACTCGGGATGGCATCATTCACCGACCCCCCTTTTGGGTAGGAAAGGTGATGTATGAGCCGAAATTCCCCTGGGGCTCTTTTTGGGACTATCCCTAATGGTGAAACTCTAAAATTATCTGTGGGAGGTGAAGTGAAGGGACCTAAAACTCTACCTTCCCTAACCTCCTTGTCAATCTTTTGTTGAACTATGTCTTCCATTCCTAAGGTTGATTTCAAATTTTTTGAGGTAAACGGGGCCCTTGGCCCCTGAGCTGGAATGCGAAACCCATCCTGAAAATCGCTCCATAAGTACTCTGCATCTACAGTATCAGGATAGGCTTCCAGCCAGCCCTGCAGCTGGATTGTATTAATTGGGCTGGGGCCCTTTGGGAAGGGTAGCAGCCCCCTGCCCCTTCCTGATATTTTGATTGTCTTTTTGGTGGAACTTGAAGGGCTTGCCCTTGTTGCAGTTCCTAGCGGAGTGTGCTCCCCCGCAGTTTGCGCAACAGTGCTGAAATCTACAGGCCCTTCTGCTGCATGCTGTGAAGATCCCTTACCTTGCCAGCCTGGGTGGCAGGGCCTAGGAGAGACAGGCTAGGTAGTTTCAGCTTAGAAGGCCTGGCAGAGGGCAGCAGGAGCCATCTAAGTTTAGGGAAAGCTCCAGTTCAGAGAGGGGGAGTGGCCTAGGCCTGAGCCAGCCCTGAAACAGCCAGGATTGGTTTGTTAAAGGGGGGCGGAGTTAGACTGTTGGAGGGAAAGAAAGAAGCTTATTTTAGTCAGTTCAGTTCAGTTCTGGTTGATGTTAGAGATAGAGCAGGATTATAGCTATTAGGAGTTCGTGATTAGAATAGGCAGTTTGCCTGAAGTTTGCACAGTGAATTAAGCTGTGGCAAACTGGTTACAGCTATTTTAGGGAAAAATAGCTGGGTTTTGTACTAGGAACTGTAACAAAGAAAGAACCATTCTCTCATGCAACCGTTACGCTTTTAAGAACAAGAACACTTTAATTGTAACAGCCAAGCTTATGAAACTGCATTCTCTTTATTCTGTAACTTTTACTTCAATAAACTTTCCTTGTTATTTTTGAAACTTAAGCCTGAGTCAAGTGCCATTTGTGGATTTAGTCCCTTTTCTTTTTAAATCAACCTCACCTGTTTCCCTTCAAAGAAGCCCTTTTAAAAGACAGTACTTGGTGGTGTTTTAAACAGCCTTTTCTTATTCTAATCAGCTAGAGGGTTCCTGTTCATTTGGTTTATGGTGGCAGCGAAGGTTTTAAATAGAGAGTCATCTCCTCAAGTGCTATATTAGTGGTGTAACTTCTTTATATTAGAGGGACAGTTGGTGGAGTCTGTTTGCCCCCTGTCCAGTCATATTGTTTGGCCATAAAGTCTGCCTTTATAATTTGGTGTCAGATGGTGGGATTGACCGTATTGCCATCTGCCTAGTTATTATAATTGGTGGGGCAGTGGTGGGATTGTCTGACCCCCTGCCCAGACGGCCATTAAAGAGGAGTTATTATAATTGGTGGGGCAGCGGTGGGATCGTTTGACCCCCTGTCCAGACGGCCATATTAAAGAGGTTATTATACATGCCCCCTGGGCTGAAAATTCCCAACACGCTGCCTTTTTTTGTTGTTGCTGCTGCTGGGGAAGGAGCTGACGAAAGGGCTGCACCCCTCTGGAGTTTCTGATGGAGTGCCCATTATCCGTCTTCTCCCCTTGTATTGTCTTAGCCGCGGTCATAACCTGCAACCATGTATGGCCATGGATCCTGTCCCATCTAAGGGTAGGCTTAAGGGCCGCCAATGCTCTAAAGCGCCTATCATATTCCAACCACGCGTTGCCAGTATAGTCCACCTGTGCAGAGTGAATAATGTTGAGATAGTGCACCAGAGAACGTCCCCTAGATGGGTATGCTTCCATAACAACTGACATATAGATTAAGTACCCATTGAACCAGTTGGTCCAACTCTCTTCCACTTTCCTCTTTTTAAACTTTCCCCTTTGATCCTCCCCCAATTCCTCGATCTGCTTCTTATCCAGATCCCTGTATAATAAAGAGAACATATCGACATACTCTGCATTCCGGATTTTTTCTATGGTCTTTGGGGAAAGATGGCTGTCTATTTGCAGGATATCAGAATCTGGGTCTGCCTTCTGGGGCCATTCTGGGGTGCCCCAAAATTGCTTGTTACCCAATTGTTTCTCCTTATTACTTGACAGTTGTGCCTCGATGGCCTCGGCCTCCACTGCCTGTAACTTGGTTGTAGGGGGCGCCATCTCTGTGGACCCTTGTGCCCCGTTAGCCTGAGCAGTGACGCTCCCCCAGGGATAAACTGTTGTGTCTTTACTACCTGCACTTCCACCACCCTCTTGCTGCGACGTCGTGGGCATCTCTGTGGATACCTGCGACAATGTGCCCGGGTTGACCATGGACACCGCAGACTGCTGAGGAACTGGGTTGACCTCAGTTCCCCCCACCGGCTGTGCCGAAACCACCTGTTCAGTCATCTGCTGCTCAGCCTGGGCAGCTCCTGGTGTAACTTGAGGCTCCTCGGCACGGCTATGGGAAGCGACGGCTGCAACTTGCTGCACCACCGATTCTACAGCAGAAAGACGAGACAAAATGGCATTCAATATGTCTTCCTGATTCGAGGCGCTAGCTGTCTTAGCCCTGGCGGCAGGGGGCGCTCCCCTCTGTACTGCTGCCAACAGGGCCCGAAAGCCACTAAGGGCTTCCAGAGATATTGCTTCCTCTCCTTCGCACGCATCCTCAGTGGGTGGTGGCCTTTTCGCTGGAGCTCTTTTTGCAGGGCCTTTGCCCTTGGAGCCCCCCACATTCTTCTTCGATGGCATCCTGTTGATAAGAAGAACATGAAATGCCATGAATGACTATTCTTTAAAACATTCTGTAATGACCATGGTCGTGTTACCTTTCCGTGGATGCATTCATACCAAGATCCTGGTGTTAGAGACCTACGCATCCCACAAAGCTTTGCCCATCCAGCTGCATAACCCTCTTAGGAGACATGCTGACTTCAAACTGCATTGCTGCAATAATAGGTAGTAATAGAATTTTATTTACACCCTGCCACCATTTCCCCAAATGGGGTTCGAGGCAGCTAACCTGAGGCCAAGCCGCAACAACACAATGCCACAAAATAAAATACAAAGAGGCAAAATAACATCAAAATAAGATAACCAAATAACTGAACAATTACCAAATAACATGATAAAGAAATAAATACACAGTGGGCCAACCAAATGCACAGGATAAAATTGATAAAACCCTGGAGGAGATAGTAGTGGGAGAGTGTGTTTCTGAGGGAGGAGCTCAAAAAGAGGGGGGGGCGTGAACCAAATGCAATTGGAAACCATCCCCTTCTCCTGAAGTTCCCATGTGACCCCATATAAAAATTGAGATGCAACAACCCTGTAAATAAATGCCTCTTAAAATGGCCGCCATGGCTCCTCCCACCACATTCCGAAATGGCAGCCTCCATACCGACCGCATGGCAAAACCAATATGGCCCCCAAGACTCGTGCTGGCTGGCCTGCAGCACGAGGCTCTATCTCCAAACCACCTGCTGATAAAGGAAAGCAAAGCCCTGCAGCGATAATAGCTTAGTGGCTACATTACATTAAACCCATCTTACTAGCCTGCCCGTGCCTCCGCAGCCAAAAACCACAAAGCCCAGGCCAGGAAGAGGAAAGAGAAGGATCCTAATTCCCTTTCCAAACAAAATTGGGGGGGGGGAGGCAGGCCCCACAGGGAGGCGAAATGGCCTAACCTTACAGGAGTTGCCAATTAAACATTGCAGGATCACCAATTAATCACTCTCCTTTCACTTAAGGATGTTCTTGAAAAGCAATGAAACCAACAGCGAAAATAAAAGCCCCCAACAAAACATTTCACCAAATGTCCAGTACAACAAAGGTATTTAACTCCCCTTATTTTGCAAACTACTGGAGCAGCTATTGACTGTTAAGACAAAAGCATCCTGCTAAATGTAATAGCTTGCTGGCTGAAAAGCAGCACAGCTCCTACCATGCCCTGTGGAGCCCCAACCCTTGCCTAGAAACAGAAAAGCAGGGAGGGGAACCAGGTCTGCACCCTCCTTGAAGGGCACAAAGCCTGGGAACAAAGGATAGCACCACACACAAAGGAGGGCCAACTTGCCCCTTTCCCAACATGAGGAACTTAAGAAAACAGAACAAAGAAATAATGCTACAAACAAAGAGCTCCCTGAACCCCAGCCCCTGAGTCCTCCCCAATTGAGGGTGGGAGAGGTAGAACCAGTGCCTTGCTGGCCTGGGCCTCCCCACCCCCCAATACTCACATGGCCAGGGACTGGAGCAGAGCAGCAGCACGTCTTTCCTCTTCAACTGACTAAGGCCAAGTGAGGTGGACTGAGCTCAATTCACCTGGGCCCCGCCCACAACAAGCCCTTGCTGGGACTTTTAACTCTTTGTCTTCCCTTCGCCGGAAGGGAGCAAAGGACTTCCCTACCATCATGCTGAAGGCAGGAAAGGAATTTGTTTTTCCAATTCAGCCTTTTCAAAGCACGTTTAGCTTTAGAAGTCTGTTCATTAAGCAAACACTGAGAAGCTCCACCTGCAGCCAAGCAAAGCTTAAGATACGGGAGGGCATTTTGAATTACTCCATGAAGGAGGCAGACTTGGTTTGGGCCAGCTAGTTTGCTGGCCCAGGCATGTGAAGGGGCGGAGCAGCAAGTTGAGTGAGGCTGCTCTGTTCCTCTCTTTCAGTTTCCTTTTGAATGCATGACCCACCCTCCCTCCCTATGGACAGTGTGAGTATAGATTGGTTGCACATGGGCCAGGTAGGAATCCCCCCCCCCCAAGTTTGCATTGGGGTTTATTTCGCCTACCCCATACTGTTTCAGATGGGTGTGGTAATTGGCTTTTGGGTGGTGTCATTTAAATAGGTTTCCTTGAGTATTAATAAGTTTCCATGGCAATTTAAAGGCTAAATGGTTATGGTAGGCACTGTGGCACCCCCGCCTTAGTGGGTGAAGGGTGGACTCCCACAAAAGTCCCCATAAGTTTTCATAAAATGGGAGCTACCCTTGGGGCTGGATTGAGGGTTCTCACTCTTGAAAAACTCTGAGGTTTCGGAGGGAGCGCCCTCAGGATGGCCTTCCAACTATGATCGGCTGAGAGGTGCAGACAAAGAATGTTGCTTGGCCCTCAAGATCCTTGGTGCACGCCTGTCCTTGGAGGTGGTCAGAGGGAGTGACCCCTGGCCCAGGGACTAGGCTCACTAGGTGGCCATAAAGCCATGAGTTATATTTTGCATTTTTACAGATTTTCCCTCTACAGCTTATTACAAGTTATTTCAATAAATAGGTCAGAAAATGGCCCTTTAGATCCATTTTCTTGTGCCTGACTCTTTATTTCATGGTGGGGATTCAAAATGGACTCCTTGTGTCTAGATATAATCTTATTCAGCTGATAGAGAAGATCTCCATGGACTATCCCTTATTATCACCACTATATCAATTTTCAAAAAGTGCACTAAAATGCCATAAAAGTTTCTTGCACTGATATGGTTGCTCAACAGGATTCTGACTTCTAATTGATGGACACCCAGAAAAGCAAAATTTCTCTACACACAAAGTTAGCTACATGAATTCAAGTGAACATTATTAGAAACCCCTTCAGATTTTACTGTTCAGTGGGAAAAAGAGGTTTGTGTCTGTAGTCTCAAAGCCTTTTTGAACATTCTACATTATATATAGCATGCAAACCATAAGTAGGTATATGTATTGCTTAAGAGTTCTGCCTTAATCTAGGAAGCCAATATTAAACTCATTTAAATTAAGTCATTGCACATTTTCCAAGTCTCAAATTATCCTCGATTAAAGCTTCATTAATCATTATTACAGATTTCGCCATGTAAATGAGGGAACATTTAATACATAATTCTGTTCTAATTGACCAACAACTGGTTCACAGAACTGTTTAATAGCATCTCAGACTCTCTCTCTCTCTCTTGCTCTTTCTACACATATGCATGTATACACCAGCACATGTGTGTCTTTATTTTTCTATGTACATGTTCTCATATTTTATTTTATTTATTTGAGAGTGGTTTTTTTATTTCCAATATTAATGTCTTAAATTTTAATCAGAAAAGGTGTCCTTTATCAGTGAAAATTATTTATAAAATAATACTAACATGAAAGGAAGGAAAAAAGGAAGGAAGAAGAACAAGGTGTGGGCTAATCTATTTTTATATTTTCACATCTCAAGATGCTGAGTCAACAGAAGATTAAAATTTTGTTCCACATCAGAGTTTAAAACATTTATTTTGTTTGCAATTACAGTTCTCAGAATGTCCTAGCTAAATTAACCAAAGCCATGTGGGAAAATAATTGGATATCATAATCAAAAACACTAACTTTTTTTTCAAAATATGTGAAATATTTTCAATAGTACAGGCCTACATAACTCTCCTTATAGTTGATTTTAGTTGTAGCATAGATAAACTAAAAGCTAGTCCTCTCAGGGAGTTAGGAGAGGATAAAAATAAAGTTATTATTATTATTATTAGTAGTAGTAGTAATAGTAGTAGTAGTAGTAGTAATAGTATATGTAGCGGTTTGAGCATTGGACTACAACTCTAGAGACCAGGGTTTAATTATCCTCTTGGGCATGGAGACCCACTTGGTGACCTTGGACAATACAAACATGCTCCACTACAGGTTTGTTTTAGGGTTGTCATAGGTCTCAAATGATGCAAAGCCACACAACAGCAACAACAACAGCAGCAGCAAAAAAGTCAAGCAAATTGGATCTTCCTTCTCTACATGGGTTTTCAGTCTAATAAGATGGAAAACCAAGTCAGATTATGTCATTATTCTAATATTCTATTCCTTAATTTATGCACTTGGAAAAATCAATATATTCTTCCTTGATTATATTGGAAAAGATGAGGTCTGGATAACCCATATTTATCCTAATTTGAGAACTGAAGAGAAAATCACACATTTAGATTGAAATTTGCTAGTCGTATAACTCGCTGTGAAGCATTTGCTTGATTCTTCACGGATAAAATTGCGCTGATCCAGTCTGGTTTTGACGCCACTTTAACTGCAGTCTCTGAGGATGTAACGAGAGCATCTGCTTGTCCAGTTTTGTTGGATTCATTTCAATTGGTTCAGCTTGAGGATGTGGACAGGATTCTTAGAGAGGTGCGACCTACCACATGCATCCTAGACCCCTGCCCATCCTGGCTGATAAAAGAAGCCAGAGGGGGTTTGGCAGAGTGGGTGAAGGTGGTGGTTAATGCCTCCTTGCAGGAGGGCAAAATTCCAGCGAGCTTAAAACAAGCTATTATAAAACCAGCTGTTGAAAAAACCATCACTGGACCCCACTCAATTAGACAACTATCGACCAGTTTCCAATCTCCCCTATTTGTGCAAAGTCATGGAACATGTGGTGGCAGCACAACTCCAGGGACTTCTGGTAGACACTGATTATCTAGATCCGGCACAGTCTGGCTTTAGACCGGGACATGGAATGGAAACAGCCTTGGTCGCCTTGGTAAATGATCTTCGCCGGGAGCTGGACAGGGGGAGTGTGTCCCTGTTAGTTCTGCTGGACCTCTCAGCGGCCTTCGATACCGTTGATCACGGTATCCTTCTGGGACGCCTCAGAGATATGGGATTTGGGGGTACTGCCTTGCAGTGGCTCCAGTCCTTTCTTGAGGGACGGTCCCAGAAGGTGTTACTGGGTGACACCTGTTCGGCCCCACAGCCGTTGTCATATGGAGTCCCACAGGGTTCAATTCTGTCCCCAATGTTGTTTAACATCTACATGAAGCTGCTGGGGGAGATCATTCAGTTTCAGACTGAGGTGTTATCTCTATCTCTCTGAGGTGTTATCACATGTCTCAGGGCGCATCTTCACTGGCCAGAAATGCTTATGGTGATTCAGAGTGGAGTATTCCAGATCAGTGTTGCTGAAGTTCATATGTGCAGCTGCTGAGATGGTTTTGGTGGCTAGATGCCAGTTACATGACTGAGTGGAACTGGAAGCAGTTTGTTACCCTGGAATGTTCGACTGCCCGATCACCATCTCCCAAAGCAGTTACTCTACTCTCAACTCAAGAATGGAATATCTGGAATGTTGGTGGACAGGAAAAAAAAAAGATTGAAAATGGGTTTAAAGCTAACCTTAAAAACTGTGGCATAGACACTGAGAACTGGGAGGCTCTGGCTCTTGAGCATTCTAAATGGAGGTTGGCTGTTACCAATGCCGATTAAGAATAGGTTTCTACAGTCACCTATGGACTACACTTAGAAGGCAATCATATTTGGACACAAGGGATCACAGAGGATAATGAGTAGTAGTAGTAGTAGTAGTAGTAGTAGTAGTAGTAGTAGTACAATTTGTATCATACCTTTCCCACAGTTTAGGACTCAACGTGTCTTGCAAAAAATTTAAAAGCATGTTGCTAAAACTCTAGTTATAGTGAGATGAAACAATCAAAGTAGTTAAACCAGATTAAAACAGAAATCATTAAAATGTACACACACTGCAGCACAAGAATTAACAAGATCCAGCACATTATTTTGGTGGGACAGGTTTTTCCATCCTTATTACAAATAGCTCAATTAATAATGACTGTTGTGTTTATGGCAGCAAATTAATTTCCCAATTGATAATTATCAACTTCTTTTTCAAACCTAAAGTTCTGGTGCTAAGGATTAGGGTATTATTAAGTTGGAATTCTTTTTGAGAAAGCCAATAACTCACTGATAAAATTAGTCTCTGCTCATTGGGTTTCTCAACAATAGAGAACAGTCCATTATATGATTTCTCTGCTAATTATTTTGTAAAAACAAAATGCTAACAGCAAATCCAAAGATCCCGTCCTGCACTGACAGTGTAAGAATAATCTTCACTGAAATTAGTAATTCTTTATTTCTAAGCAGAAATACATAATATTGTAGTGTAAGAATAGGGGTAGGCACCACTAAGCTGCAGTCCCTCCACGGAAGTAGAGAAGATTGGGATACAAAAGTTTTAAATAAATAAATAAACTTGCTGACCGGAAGGCCAGTGTTCAAATCTGTGGGACAGGGTGAGCTTCCATTGTTAGCCCTAGCTTCTGCCAACCTAGCAGTTTGAAAATATACAAATGTGAGCAGATTTATAGGTACCGTTTTGGCAGGAAGTTAATGGTGCTCCATGCAGTCATACGGCCACATGACCTAGGAGGTGTCTACAGAAAATACCAGCTCTTTGGCTTAGAAATGGAGATGAGAACCACCCCCAGAGTCAGATTCAATTAGACTTAATGTCAAGGGGAAATGTTTACCTTACTTTTAAGAATAAGGACTGTTGAGAGATGACACTGGACCTGGGGCAAAATAATAATAATAACAACAACAACAACAACAACAACAACTTTATTTATATCTCATCCAATCTCCCCATGGGGACTCTGCAACGCTCTCTACATGGGGCTGCCTT